AAGGGGAAACTTTGATGAGGAATGGGCTGTCCTAAGGGAGTGAATTTCTAGAGGCTGGGGGGAACAGATGGAAACTGGGAAAAGGATAAGACCCTGAGAGTCTTTTGTTTCCTAAGCCTGCAGGGCTTCATTTGAACCGGTGCATCATTTCACTCAGACACTTGACTGCCTACCACCGGCTGGGTGAAAATGGAGCTGACTTGGGCCCTTTCCCTTAGCAACCCATTGAACTGAAAAGTGGATAGGAACAGAGGGAAACAAGCGCGAGGTGGCACACAGAGTGCAGTGAATGCTGCCGTGTGGGGCAGTGGCAGTGACGGCCTCCCTTGGCCTGTTGAACCACTGCCAACTTACCAAGCCTTTCCCCGCTGTTGTGTCATTCTGGTGTCACAAGAGCCATATTCGGTGAGCAGAGTTGATACTACCATTGCCTCCTTCCCCGTACCTGGTGATGACGAGACCAAGGCTATGAGAGCCAACTGGGCCAAGGCCGTTGAGACGGGTCTGGGACCTTGACCAGTGGATCCCATGGGGTGGCGTGCTTATGGGCTTGTGGCTGGGGGAAGATCTGGGAAAGCAGGCAGGAGGCCAGGATGCAAACCTGGCTCATACCAGACATCAATTGAGGCATAATCGAACCCAGCAGTCTACTTTTCTTAAGAAAACAGAATAAGCTGCTAACTGATGCATGTATTGATTGGAGCCATTGACCATCCTGCTGTGAAGATCTGAAGGAGAAAATTTAGAGGAGAGATTACACCCACCGGGCCCAGGGGAGCTGTACCCTGGAGTAGCAGAGAGCGTAGGTACTGGCTCTTTTACTGGGCAGATTACTCAGTTGCCCGAGCCTCGGTTGTTCTCGTTTGTAAAATGGGGATAATTGTGCCTGCTTTATGTGCTGTAGATTACAAAGGGCAACACAGAGAAAGTCCTCCACAAATTAGGCTGTTCTCATGTTTGTTATTACTGTGACTTACCAGAGAATTGTATATACTTGTTGGGGAAAAATGGTAATAATAATGGTGATGATGATGGTGATAGTAAAAGCTCCAGCTTTTTTTTTTTTTTTTAATGTTAATTTTTGAGGGGGTTGGGGGAGGCACAGAGAGGGAGACAAAAGATCTGAAGCAGTCTCCACGCTGTTAGGGCAGAGCCTGATGTGGGGCTTGAACCCATGAACTGTGAGATCATGACCTGAGCTGAAGTCAGATGCTCAACCAACTGAGCCACCCAGGCGCCCCCAGCTCTGGCTTTCTAAGCATCCATTGGGCATTGGGCACCATGACAGACCCTGTAATGGGACGGGGAGCAGCCCCTGGTCGTAGCGGTGCTGTTGGAGCTTGGATGTCTGGAAGAAGCACCCAGCCCCCAAGGGAAGGAGGCCCAGCCGTTCCTGTATGCATCAAGACTTTCTTGAACACCCACTACAGGCCAGGCCCTATCTCAGGACAAAGAACATTCTAGATGGAGGTTGCGACAGAAGTGGCAACTGCCCATCTCCTTGCCTTGCTAAGGGACCCATGCCTCTTTCAGGGTTTTGTTGAGCAGTTCCCACTCCTGCTACACCACCCGGGGTGGGTGTGGGGAGAGCTTGTGAGACTGGCCTCAGGAGAGAAAGTCAGTGAAGTGGGGAAGGGCTCATCCTGGACTCTGGTCTGACCCCGGCACACAGTAGGTGCACAGGAAATGGGCCCCCTCCTCATCCTGTGTGAACGAAGTCGGGCATTCTCACTTTTAGTCTTACCAGCTTTCTAAGACAAAGCAGAGCCTGGTGGAGGGTTTGGCTCACGACATCCGATGTCGGTGTTATAGGCGGGGGGAGGGGGGGGAGCTGCTTTGTAGCTGTATCACTGGAGGGTGTCAGGAAAACAGGACTTTCCCCACAAAACCTTCAAAGGAGGAGCCATCCTTCCTGCCTTTGTGTGCCTGCTCCTTCTGCCCTCACTGAGGGGGCCAGAAGGGAGGGGTGGCGTTTGGGAGCCAGAGCCCCACCAGCATGTGGGTTTAGCTCCTGCACCGGATGGGCCTCCTCTGTCCCCTTCAAGGTCCGGGCCGCTGCCGGTCTGTAGGATGCTATATTGCAGCCCTTTCCAAACACCGTTGTGCCTCCGAGTCACCTTGTTGAAGTGCTGACTCCCGTTCCTAGGGGGCAGCCTGACATATTTGCATTTCAGACAAGCTCCCGGATGATGCCTGGCCTGGACCACCCTTTGAGACAGGAGGGCAGTGGCCGGTGTCCCACCTGACTTCACTCCGCGCTCTGTCACATGCATGCTGACTGAACTGCCTCCTGGTGACCACAGCTGTGCCCAGGGCTTGCTTTGGGCCCCACAGCCCGCCCAGCCCTGGTCCGGGAAGGGCTGGTGACTGCCAGGAGGGGCGGTTGGATGCCCCAAGGCCCTCATCTGCAGCAGGGTAACTGGTGGTGTCCTGCCCTGTCTCCCAGGGTCTTCAGGGAGGCTGAGCCTCAGCTGGCAACGGCAGTAACCTGCTCACCTACTCAGGAACACACTCATGATTGGCTTTCTTCCTGGGTTCACCTTCCAGATAAACTCTCCTTGTCACAGGGTCTGGTCCAAGGCAACCCAACTGTAGGTGTGGTCAGTTGCAATCCGCTCTGCCCCTCAAAGCGGCAGGGGAGTTCACTGGAAGCTTCTCAGGAGGCTCAAGGACCACACTTAGAAGCCAGACAAGGACCAAGGGAAGCTCCAGAAAGCCTAGGCACGAGAGATGCAGTAGCCAGGAGAGTGTGGCCCAGGGTGCCCACACCCCCGCTGCTGACCACCGCTGCAGCCCTGAGCAGCTCTCCCCCTCCGTTCTGGTGCCATTTGATCAAAGCTTCCCGTTAGCTGTTCCTGAGTCACCAGCCCATGCTTCAGCCTCCAGAGGGTCGAGTTAGATACCCAGACTTGGAGTGGGCACAGGCCCCCCCCCACTGCGAGATGACCCACAATAGGGGAATTAGTTTAAGCGGGAAGCAGGGGTGGGATGCTGGGTAGACCGTCTCCCCCCAGAAAAGTTTACTGCAGCCATGTTCAGCATCAAGTACAGGTATGTCAGACCGGGGGGGGGGGGCGGGGGGTGAAAAGGACACCGCTGATGAAAATGCAGAGCAGTGACTGGCCCCACATAGAGTCCCCCTGGGCCATCTGTCTTAGTGGCTCAAAACATCCTCCCTGCCCTCTGCCCTGAAGGAGGAGGAGGTCTGAGCCCTTGACTGGGAGCACGTGGGCACGGTACCATGCCAGTTCCCCACCCCAGTTCCCTTAGGGCAACTAGCAGTTGAAAGGCCGGTCCCTCTTATTCAGCACACAAAGTGATTTCACTTTCTATGGCTCTCACTGCCCCGGAAACTTCCTCTCGCGTCCCAGGGACTTAACCGTAGTAGCTGTACATCCTCAGAAGCAGCCAGCAAATCACCCTTGGCCTGAACGGGATCTAAATCCTCGTTCCATTCGGTCACCCATATTGCTGCCTTCTGCCTCTCCCCAGGAAGGGCCTGAGCTGCCGCCACTGCCAAGCTAAGAGGACAGGCAGGAGGAGGTGGCAGCGGGAAAGTGCCCTGAAGATCAACTACTAGGACTCTGAGGGTGATGCTGTTGACCTTTGGGGAAAGGAACAGGAAGTTGAACTTGACCTGTCACCTCAGAGGCTAAGGTGGCCACTGAGCTCTCTTCCTCTCAGGACTCTGTCTCTTACTTTTTTACTTTTATTTTTTATTTAAAAAAATTTTTTTATGTTTACTTATTTTTGAGAGAGAGAGACAGAGTGTGAGCAGGGGAGGGGAAGAGAGAGAGGGAGACACAGAGTCCGAAGCAGGCTCCAGGCTCTGAGCTGTCAGCACAGAGTCCGACGCGGGGCTCGAACCCACAAACTGTGAGATCATGACCTAAGCTGAAGTCGGAGGCTTAACCGACTGAGCCACCCAGGCGCCCCACTTTCTCTCACTTTTTATGCATTTTAATCAAGGCCCATTTCATGGTAAGCTTAAGGGAGCTGCTCTGTTTCCTGTAATAGTTCATACTTTGGAGCTAATTTGTTGGATCCCACCCGTTTTTCAGGGCAGGCCACATAGGTTGGTGTCCAGTCTGTGCTTGTGTGCCTTTGGATGAGGAACCTATTTGAGGTCCTGTCCACCCTGCAGGCTGGTGAGGGATGTCAAATGATACGAACATGTCTGTCTAGACTGCAGTTGCTGAGGGTGGGGTGGGTTCCTGGGAGGCCGTATCGACCCAGGGAAATAGCAGATCTCTGTAGGATCGGGCCTCATCCTGGGAAGGGATGTCAGTGTGGAGTGGCCACACCTGCTTTTGCACCTGCTGCTGGGAGACTTTGAGGGGTTCATTTTCCAGGTGTGGCCAGGACCACCTGCGTCCCCATCCAGGAGAGTCTGGTCCACGGCTACCCACGTCCCTGCTACTGAGGGTACTACCACTGCCTGGACCAGTCCTCACACTCCCTTTAGTCTAGAAGACAGACTGTAGAACTCCATCCTACGGTCTCTGAAAGTGGGACCCAGAAATTGACATCTGTAATGAACACCCATTCAGATGCTGCTTACGTGAAAAGGCTGAACATTCTTGTTCTTGTTCTTTGGAGGTGCCTGCCAGTGGCAGAGAGTTCCTTTCCCGTCTTGCAAGCCAACTCAACCCTCCCTGGATTCACAGCAGATCTAAAATAACGAGTCTTCCTTCCCTAACGTCTAGAGGAGTGCTTACGTTGTGCTTTCCCTTTGGAGACAAAAGACTCAAGCTGTGGGTTGCTCGGGATAGATGTCAGGAGGATGCTGAATCCAGAGGCAGGGCCGGGCCCGGGGCAGCTGGGATGGGTCATTACCGTTAGTTGTTTTAGGATTGCAGGACTCCCTGGTTGAGCTGGCCATGGGGCAGCTGGAAAGCCATCTAGTCGTGGGGGCCGAAGCCAGTGTTGCGATTCCAGAGTTAGTGCTAACACCCCTGACGCTGAACAGCCTGACACTTTGCCCCTTTCTTCCCCAACAGGTGTGCGCCTTGACCGAGTGCGTGGAGGCCGCCAGAAATACAAGCGACGGCTGGACTCTGAGAGCAGCCCATACCTGAGCTTACAGATTTCTCCACCCGCTAAAAAGCCATGTGAGTGTCAGGGCAGTCCATGCTCCTTCTGCCAGCATGGGTACCTGGGACATCTGGCCCCCGTGGGGAGATGCCACCTTCCCGCTGCTGGCTAGAGACAGTGTGGATCCTGGGGAGGTGGCATTGGTGGCCGGCTGGGTGTCGGGTGCTTCAGGCTTCATTCGGAAGGCCTTTCCATGTGGGATTTACAGAATGTGGCTCCAAATGAAGCATGATCCTAAGAAGGCATGGGCCCCGGCATCCGGAACGTGTCGCCCTCACCTGCCACTCAAAGCAGGTTCCTCTCAAGAGAAGTCACCAGCAACTTCCCTTGGAGGGCTATTTTTTAATAGCCCAAATCAACACGGCCAGCAAGTTTGTGGAGTGAGAAGGGGAGGGGGAAGGGAGAGACTCCTCAGAACCCAACTTTTCTTTCCGAGTCACTGCAGGCTCCACCCCGGCCCCTCCTCCTCCCCCCAACGTTCACATTCCTCCTCTGGTTGTTGGCAGTGACCAAGATTGTCTCCTACCTGCTGGTGGCCGAGCCGGACAAGCTCTATGCCATGCCTCCCCCTGGCATGCCGGAGGGCGACATCAAGGCCCTGACCACTCTCTGTGACCTGGCAGACAGGGAGCTCGTGGTCATCATTGGCTGGGCCAAGCACATCCCAGGTGAGTCCCGTAGGACCGGGCAGGGGTGGTATAGCCAGGGACTCTCAGCCACTGTCCCCACCACCGTGGTTCTGATGCATGGGAGCCCCAGGACCCAGGAGCCGTGTTTTCTTCTGGGCTCCTTTTCTCTTCGTGGGATTGGAGGTAAGCAGGTGTTGGGAGGTCCAGTAACATTCCTGAACTGCTGGGGGCTCTTCAGAATCAGTGATCACTCTCGAGGGTTGCTGATTGCTTCTTACAATAGGTGAGATTCAAAGAGCAAGTTCTCTGAGTCCTTCAAGACCAAAGGGTTTTCTTGTAGACCTTATTGGAAATGTGCTGGGAAAATGCAGCAGAGAATTTGAGTCTCTTGCTTCCTTTAGCGGCCGGTGGACTGGAGTGGTTAAGAACATGGGCTGGGGAGTCAAAGTCTGGGATTCAAAGGATTCAACATCTGGGTCTGCGGCTCACTAGCTGTGTCACCCTGGGCAGGTCACCCGGCCCCTCTGTGAACAGGGAATAATAGCAGTACCTCCTTCGTGGGCTTTGCCGTGAGGATGAAATGCAAGGATGAGTGTGATGTGTGGTCCATGTTCACGTTCACTGCTGGCTCACTATTGCCACTTGCCTGATCTTATGGGAGGCCCATCTCTTAATAGGTGGCGTGGAAGGTGCATGTAATAAATACGTTTCAGGAGATAATGGACTCCGGGTATGGCTGTTCGCTGCGTGTGGCCCACACCCTTCCTTCAGCATCCTCCGTCTGGACAGATGGTGGAAGCTGGTTTTTAATTTTATTTTTGTAGACGCCGATACCCACGTGTTTTGTATTACACACGTGTTGGGGAGCTTTCGAAAGCCTGTGCAGTTTATGCCTCGTAAGGTTTCTACAGCTTGTCTCATAGTGTGGTGGGGACATCCTGTTTTCCTCTGGCAGTCATCCACCACAGACTCGGATTCTTACTAGCGATGTGACACGGGGCAGTTTATCTTCCTGTCTGTAGGTCCTCTTTGTGTGTGTCGCCGGCTCTGAAAAGTGAATGTAGCACGCACGGTGGTGTAGCAAAGGTGTCTGAGACTTTAGATGCCAAGGCCCGCAGTTGACTGGGGGGAGTCAGAATGTTTGTATAGAAGACACGCGTGTGTGCACAACCTAGATGAAGGAGTCTTCCCGCGGACGAGGGCTTGGGAGCTGATGCTGGTATTACTTAGCTGGCAGGAAGCGTAGCATTCCTTGCGCAGATGGCCCCTGGCGTTCCGACTCGGGGAGGGCCTCACCGGGGATCTGAGCTGGACGCCCTTACTAAGGAGCTCAGCCTCTTGGGATTACACACTCAGTAATTTTGAATCTGGCCCATGCTGATTCAGCACAGACGTGGGGTCAGGCCACTGCGTAAGACACCTCAGCCCGGATTGCTCCACTGACCCGGGGCCGAATCCGGTACAGCTCCCCCTGCCCCTCACATCCTGCCCTCCCCGCCATCACACGCTCCTCTTCCATCGCATCCCAGCGATGGCTCAGGGGTGGCGCCTGGCGGTCCCCCAGGTCACCGCTTCCTTCTCCTGCCACCTCTAAGGGGAGGTGTAGAACCAGGAGACGCTGTCTCCCTTGCACCCGTTCCTCTCTCCCGTCTCCCTCCTTCCAGCGCCATCTCCCATCTGTGCCCGACCAAGAGGGAGGTGGGCCGAGCAGAGTGGCTGTTAGGGGCCCAGACTTTGGATCCAGACAGACCCAAGCCCTGATCCAAGTTCTGTCCTTACTGGCCTTGTGAAGAGATCTCATTTTTCTGAGCTTCAGTGTCCTTGCCTGTGAATTAAGAATCGTAATAGATGGTACAGGGCCGTCAGCCCAGCCCCCGCACACAGTGGGTGCTTGATAAGTGGCAGGGACCATGACTGTGTCATTGTCTTTGCTAATAGTATTAAAAGCTTCCTTTCACATCTTCCTTTTCCCTTGTCCAGAGCTGGATTCTTTTTGATTAAAAAATAAAATAAACATAGGGGCTCATTTGTCTGTCTGAAACACTAATTTGTCTATTTTGCATAAATTTGCATGCTGAATTATTTGGGCCTGACCTTCTAGTGTTTAAGGTAAAATTAATTAATAGCGTCTCCTGCCACTGCATGTAAACCTCATACTAGGGGCGATGACATATCAAGTGCCTGATATGTTTAAACTAATCGACTTAATCCCATCTCAGATTAGACAGAAAACTCCCCTGAAGACCTGCTCACTGGCCTTTAGAGAGAGAGACAGAGAGAGAGAGAGAGAGAGAGAGAGAGAGAGCCAGAAAGAGACCAGGTTTCTTAGCAGGGTAGATGCAAGCCAGGGCCCCACCCTGGGACTGACGTCAGCTCCTGTCCATCCTGGTTCCTGGATAGCAGAAGGTTCCTTAAGACCGCTCAGGTTAGCACTCTGAAGCAGAGCCCAGCCCACTTTCCTTAAGCAAGGAGACCACGTCTCATGACTCAGTACGAGCTAACCTCTCAGTATCTGTCCATAGCCTGGCATACAGAGGGCACTTCATACTTGCCTTTGCATGCATTTATTGAGTAAGGTCTCTTGTTAGGAGTTGTGGCTGATACAAAGAAGTAGATTAATTTCTGCCCCAAGGATCTCATTTATAAATAAGGTGGATAATTTTGTTTTTAGTAAAATACTCGTTTTTAAATTTTTTTTAATGTTTTTGTGTGTGTGTGTGTGTGTGTGTGAGAGAGAGAGAGAGAGAGAGAGAGAGGGAGCACGAGTTGGGGAGGGGCAGAGACAGAGAGGGAGACACAGAATTCGAAACAGGCTCCAGGCTCTGAGCTGTCAGCACAGAGCCCGACGTGGGGCTCGAACTCGGAACAGTGAGATCATGACCTGAGCTGAAGTTGGACGCTTCACTGACAGAGCCACCAGGCGCCCCAATACTTTTTCCTTAAAAAGAATTTTTTTTAACGTTTATTTATTTTTGAGAGAGAGAGACAGAGACAGAATATGAGCAGGGCAGGGAGGGGCAGAGAGAGGGGGAGACACAGAATCGGAAGCAGGCTCCAGGCTCTGAGCTGTCAGCACAGAGCCCGACATGGGGCTTGAACTCACAAACCGTGAGATCATGACCTGAGCCGAAGTCGGACTCTTCAGCAGCTGAGCCACCCAGGCACCCCCAACAAAATACTTTCTCATGAGAAATTCTAAACATACAAAAATAGACCAGACCTCCATGAGGAACCTCCATGACACTTGCTTCAATATTACCACCCCACTGCCTGTTTCCCTTTACCTCTACCCTGTTTCCCATCTCCTGCACACTTAGGAGGCAGCAAGGAGAACCACGGGACAGAGGGATGCCTTGGGCTGCGGGGGCAGAGGGCAGACGCTGAGCTAGGCCTTCAGGATTGATGGGCAGTGGCCATGGAGGAAAAGCCCAGAAGGGCAGCAGGGCGCCACGAACACAAGTTTTCAGGCTGCAGGCCAGAAGCTAACATATGTACACAGGCGCTGAGCGACCCGCTTGGCCAGTAGGAAGGATCGTTTGAGCACAAAACTCATTTCTCAGCAGGCCCCCCCTCCCCCCCACCCCGGCTTTCACTCACATGTTTGAACACACAGGACACTTTCATACGGGTGAGCTCCCTAGGGAGCTCGGGCTGATTGCGGCTCACTCAGAATAGCAGCCATTCCTTTGTTTCAGTCCGTCTGCAGTGGCCTTACCCCGCACGCATGCAGGCTTTTACCTGGAGTTGAACTTTCCAAGTCCTGGTTTGCCCAGAGGATGAGCCCGAGTCTTTAGAGCGCCCACCCCTCGTTCCCCGGGAGCGACAGGTTCGAGCAAGGGGCAGCAGCCTTTAAGAGGCAGTGGGTATCGCTTGATGAATTGTCCTGTCACCCCAGGTGGCCTGGAGGCTCCGCCAGCCAGGGGAGCCCTCCCAGGCCAGGGTGACACGTGCACACCTCTGCGGGGGGAACCCCCCAGAGGCCTCCTCACGGAGGGCTCCTCAGCGGCCCTGCTCCCAGGTAGCCACCGTCTGGCTCTCGCTGGGGAGGGAAGAATGCCAGCGGCCGATGAAATATGGGCTGCCGAGTGACAGCAGCTGTGTCTGGAGTGGCCTCAGATCCTATAATTACATCTCCCTTTATTACCTCTGCTAATGGCCCTCCAGGTCGACAGAAACGATAATAAATTAACAGATTATGAACTCCACTTGCCACAAATTATGTGCTCTTTTTTTTTTTTTTCCTTAAATTCTAGGAGCTCATGCTGTCAAACCACTGGGGGATGGGGGCTTGGGAAGATCCTGACTGTTATCAGATCAGTTGGTGCAGATAAAGCAACTTTGTGGGGGTGGGCAGCAGGGCCCCAGGAGGGGAGGCGGGCAGGGACAGCCAGCTGGGGCAGGGCAGGACCTCCAGCGGGCAGTGCTCTCGCCCAGGGGCCTGGGCCACACCAGCCTCTCCCGGAAGCCACCCTGTCCTAGAATTGCTAATTGCTCGATGGAGGAGGAGACCCAGCCCAGCACAGAGAAGCAGACGTGGAGGGTGCTTGGCCGAAGGACAGGGAGGAGTGCTTCAGCCCTTGGTCTGGGTTTAAATAAAAGAAAGAGTATGTGCTTTTACCAAAGATGACGGGCAGGGACAGAGGGCTGGAAATTAGGAGTTCCAAATCCCTCATCTTTCTTAAACATCCTTCTGGGAATTTCCTGTGCACGTACAGCCACTGTGTGCGTACGTGTGTGTGTATGTTCTCTCCCCACCATGAGACCATTCTAGAACAACTGCTCTACATCTTGCTTTTTTTCATTGAATTCTATAACATGGTAGCACTTCCCTTGTGCTAGGCAGTGTACTGAGTACTCCGCACGTTAGCTCATTCAATCCACACGGTCCCGTTAGGGAAGTATTATTATTATTCCCGTTTTACAGATGAGGAGACTGAGGCACACAGAAGTGGACATACCCAGTGTCACAGCCAGTGGTCAGCAGAGCTAGGATTCTAGGGTCTGGTCGTGCATCTGTGTCCTTAATAGTTAAGTCCTCCTTACATTCATGGGTGTCTTTCCACACCCACAAAAATAGTTCTACCTCATTCTTTCTGGTGGCTTCTAACGTGCCATTCGTTTAGCTAATAATTATGTTTATATAGTAATTACACGAATCACATTAGTTACATTTAGGTTGTTTCCTGCTTGAGGCCATTACAGACTGATGGAACAAAACACCCTTTCACATTTATCTCTGTGTATTTGTGCATCCTTTTCTTTCTGGGAGAAATTCCTAGCAGTGGAATTTCCAGGTTGAAGGAAGCATGCCTTTTGTTTTATGCTGGATTTAGTTTTATTTTGGGACATCTTAAATATGGACAGGTTCAAAGACCAAAACTAGGTAGAAATGTGCACACAGCCTTCCCCTCCAGCCCTGTCGCCTCCCCTCCTTCCTCCTAGAGCTGTTTTTATATTTCGTTCTGCCTTCTAGTGTGTCTTTTTTTGAAGAACTAGAAAGTATTTGAACTTTTTAAAATATTAGGACATACCACATATTTCCCCCCCTACCTTGCACAAAGAGAAGCAGCCTCTATATACCATTCAGCACTTTGGAGAGTGCATTTGGATTGTCAAAGCCCCTTCCAGCTCCTTTCGGAGCCACTCAAGGAGAAGGAGAGAGGTCAGGGGCCGAGGGCCAAGTCCACTGCAGAGAGGTCCGCACACAGGCGTAGGTCTATCCTCAGATGGTGGCCCAAACTCTCAAAGGCGCTGTCCCCTTTCTCCCACCACCTGCTCCCCTCCTCCCAGAGGGCAGGCCTGTGTCTCTGGCTTCTGCACGATGGGAAAAGGTGCCGAAATTCAAACTCGTGGCTGAAGGACTGAGAGGGTCTCAGCGAGTTCTTCGGGCCCATTTTCTTGTCACCTAGGAGTCAGGGTCCAGTGGCATCTGTTGTGCTCTGTGCTGGGAATATGCACTGCGCATCTCCCTTGTCCCAGCCGGCGCTTGGCAGTGGGGGTGGGGAGAGGGACAGCAGCTCATCCCCGCACCCTGGGGTGTGCTCGCCAGTGGGGCCCTCGCCACCCTCTTTAGAACCCCTCCTACCCTGCAGGGTTCAGCCCCAAGTCTCCTTCTGCAAAGCCTTCGGCACATTCTTGTTTGGGCCAAGTTCTCAGAGCCCTCCACCCCCCTTGTTCTTCTCACTGCCCCAATTTCAGGGTCACGGCAGAGCTCGGTGCTCGGGGCATGCCTTTCCCTCCTGACCGTGAGCGCTTTCACGCAGGGACCCCTTCTGGTTGGAGCTCACCGTTCTGCCCACAGGGCCTGGCATTTAGCAGGTGCCCAGTGAGGAGGTGCTGGATGAAGGAAGAGACCAAAGATGCTGTTAACGTGCCTCTGGTGATGGTACCTTCGTGATGGGCATCACAGGGGTCCCTTCTCTTTCGTTTCCAGAAGTCTCGCTCTTACCTCACCTCCCTTTTTGCAATTGTCTGTTAATTTTGCCCCGTCCACCTCCTACATCTTCCCTCCCGGTCTGTCTGCTTCCAGTGCAGCCCCCACGTCCCTGCGTGCACACACCCTCATGAGCTGGCTGATTGGGATCTGTTAATTAATGTCGCCCAAGCCCTCTCCCGCTCAGAGGCCCGATAAGGGAAATTGGATGTCCGTTCTGTCTGCCTTTTATTACCTCCCGGCTCTCCCTGCCACCACAGGCTGCCACACACCCCCTCTCACGCTGGGATCCAGACAGCACGCATACACCTGGCCCCTCTCCCCAAGGAGGTATGTCAATCCAGGCCTGCCCCGTCCATCAGTGTCATCGCTCAGCTCTTTTGATGGGTGCCAGCAGCCAGGTGGTGAGCCAGGAGCCCCAGGAGTGCCCCCTAAGGTTGAACATTCGCGCACTGGTTGGAAAATGGAGAGGGATCGTGGGTTTTAGACTCGGGGGACCGCAGGTGAGGGGTGGGACAGACTCCACGGAAACCCAGAGCGATGGGCCTGTCGAGAAGCTCAGGACCACCCCGGGCCTCCAGCTGTGCCCAGAAGGAAGAAGAGGGTCATGCCAGTAGTGTGCTAATAACAACAAAAACAGTAACGACAGCCATGGGCATCACCCCTCGGTCAGGCTCGCCGGGCACCGCCAGTGTAGGGAACAGAGGGGGCCTGTCTGAAAACCACCTCTTCACCCTCGAAGCCCCCGCATCAGCGCTGCACCCACACGGGGTGAGGTGCCAGGGCGCCAATGCAGCGGAGACCCACATGGGCAAACTCAGACCCGGCCGCCCGGGATGCATGGTACGTACAGATGGCTGTGTGGGTCTCTTCCTTCTTTCCGTCAGTCTGGCGGCATCCGTGTGGGAGCCAATCTTGGAATTTCTGGCCGAAGTTACCACCTTGTGTTCAGTGACTGAGAAGTTTAAAAATCAACTTCTTCCCTCCCTCCCTTCTCCTTCCTCCTCCTCCTCCTCCTCCTGCTCCTTCTTCTCTACCCTCCTCTCAGATCAAAATGTTAATTGTTCCGGGATGCCTGGCTCCATTGGTTAAGCATCTGCTTCTTGGTTTTGGCTCAGGTCATCATCTCACAGTTTGTGAGTTGGAGCCCCGCGATGGGCAAGAGTTAAAAAAAAAAAAAAAAAAAAAAAAAAAAAAAGATGTTCATTGTTCCATGCCTGAGTTAAGTACATGTATAAAGCAATTCCAGACACTTCTCATTTTGCACATGAAGACTTTTCATCTCATCGTTCATAGCAATAGCACGAGCTCACTGAACATGTTGTATGTCCCATAATCGTTGTCTTATTCAGACCTCGTGGAGAGTCTGAAGCAGGTGTTGACAGTTATACCCATTTCACAGAAGGGGATGCTGAGGTTTGGGTCAGTTACAACTTTCACACGGTCAGCCTGCAGCTAGGAAATGGGGAGTCAGGGTTCAGGCCCAGGCAATCTCCCGAGCACATTGGACAAGACCATGTCATAATTCAGGAGCCATCCCCATCCCGACCTGCTTTTGCGCTGGGGTCGGCCTCCTTACTAGCAGGGAGGGGGAAACTCCCATGATTCTAAGCTCTCGGAATGCAGGACGGCAGGGGCCTGACCCCTGGAGGAGAGGCTGCTCTGTGAGAAAGTGCCCCCTGACCCTGGGGGCTCTTGAGCTCTTAGCAGCCCGGGCTGTGGTCACTAGGGGGTCACTGGCTGGGAACAGCTGAGTCCTCTCTCCCGGTTGGGCCCCTGGGTTGGCACACACAGCTGAGACTGTGCAACGTTAAAATGCCAAAATGTCCCCTGGTTGAGCAGAGAGAGGGATCTGGAAAGTCCCCAGAGGGAAGGGGACCCAGTACTGCCGCCTTTTGATCCTATTATGAATTTAAAAACCCCTTCGATTACAAACACATTTAATTAACCAAAAAAAAACCTCTTCAGACCTTTGAAACTAGCACAGAACTAACAACCAGAGTGATAATAATAACAGTTGTCAACATTGACCGAGCTCTCATTACATAAGTCTTTTCCGTGAATTCCCCGTCTGACTCACTGGCCAAGGGAAGGACGAGGAGTCCAGCAGGTACGGAGGGAGGGGCAGGGTCGGGGCCCGGGACCACCTCCTCCAGCCAGCCCTCCTGACTGCCGCTGCCCTCCCTGCCCCCTCTTCCCGCAGGCTTCTCGAACCTCTCTCTCGGGGACCAGATGAGCCTGCTGCAGAGCGCCTGGATGGAGATCCTCATCCTGGGCATCGTGTACCGCTCGCTGCCCTACGAGGACAAGCTGGTGTATGCTGAGGACTACATCATGGACGAGGAACACTCCCGCCTCGCGGGGCTGCTGGAGCTCTACCGGGCCATCCTGCAGCTGGTGCGCAGGTACAAGAAGCTCAAGGTGGAGAAGGAGGAGTTTGTGACACTCAAGGCCCTGGCTCTGGCCAACTCAGGTAAGGGCGGGCATGGGCCCCACGGTGGGACCTTCCGGAGGTCTTCTTGGGCCCCGGGGGGCACAGCCCCGGAGCTCGCGAGCGGGGCCACCGTGAGAGGCAGGGTGGCGTGAAGATGCCCGAGGTTCTTGTCACCAAAGGTTGTGCAAGGGGTTGGCCTGGAGCTAAAAGGGGTTGGCCCGCGATAGGTGCTTCCTGAGCCCTTGATTTGCAGGGCGTTCTACGAACTGAGCCTCTGCTATCTAGCCCAGCACACCGGTTAAGGACAGAGGCTCTACAGTCACTGAGAGTCAAATCCTGCTTCTGCTACTTGGGCAAGTCGCTTCCCTCTGTGCCTCCTATTCTTTATCAGTAAAAGGGGAACAATGCAGAGTCCCTCCCCCACCAGACAGTGGAGGGGGGTTATTTGTACATCATTATGTTACACTCACAACACGCTGGGCTTACAGTAAGCGTTGAACCTGCTAAATAAATTAGCTGTGAACTTACTTAATTCTTAACAACCCTGTGAGCAAGGGTCTCATGATTTTTACCCCATTTTATAGACGGGGGAACTGAGGCTTGGAGAAAATTGCCCAGGGCCACACTGTCAAAGGGTGTCAGAGCTAGGACTCAAACCAAGGCCCTGTCCTTGCAAAATCAACCCCCAGCTCGTAGCCACTCCTTGAATCTTCCAGTCAGATCGCTCAGGCACAAGAGAGAGAAAACCTTCCCAGCTGAGTGGTCTGGTCGGTCGTTAAGAAGGAGGGCTTCACGTCCCACTCTTGATTTTGGCTCGGGTCAATGATCTCAGGGTCGTGAGATCGAGCCCCGTGTCGGGCTCCGCACTGGGCAGGGGGCCTGCTTGGGATTCTCTCTCTCCCTCTCCCTCTCCCCCTCCTCAGCTTGTGCACGCTCGCTCGCTCTCAAAAGTAAAAAATAAATAGGGGCGCCTGGGTGGCGCAGTCGGTTAAGCGTCCGACTTCAGCCAGGTCACGATCTCGCGGTCCGGGAGGTCGAGCCCCGCGTCGGGCTCTGGGCTGATGGCTCGGAGCCTGGAGCCTGTTTCCGATGCTGTGTCTCCCTCTCTCTCTGCCCCTCCCCCGTTCATGCTCTGTTTCTCTCTGTCCCCAAAATAAATAAAAAACGTTGAAAAAAAAAATTAAAAAAATAAAATAAAATAAAATAAAAAATAAATAAAAGTAAAATAAAACTCTTTAAAAAGGGAGGCTTCGCCTCCCTTCCATCAGCCCCTTGCAGCTCCTGGCTGGAATCTCTGGGGACGGGGGCTGGGCGCTCGTGATGCAAGTGAGCGAGCTGGACTGTCATCTGTGTCCACACTTGGGGAGCACCCACCGTATGCAGGGTACTGTGCCAGGCAGGGGGTGGAGAATGCAGGAGAAAATCAGGCTCCCTGTCCTAAAGAGAGACTGTCAGGCAGGCACACACAGTTCCCCAGGGCAGTGCGTGTGCCTTGCTCAAGTCTGGTCACATGGACCCAAGTTCAAATTTTAGCTCTGACACTTAGTAGCAGTGTGGCCTGGGCAGGTTGGCAACCTTCCTTAGCCCTGTCCTTGTGTGTACAATGGGGACATTCCAGTACCTTCTCCAAGCACTTTGGTCTTGAATGACCGACTGAAGATACAGCACTTAGACCAGTGCCTGGCCTAGAGCAAATGTTCAATAAATATTAATTATTATCATTATTATTAATATTAGAGGAAACAGAGTGTTATCCGCACAGGGAAGAGGGACAGCTGGTTCCCAGGCGGAGACGGTACAAACAGGGTAAGCGACCGGTTTGCAGGGATACGGTTCGGCTTTTAGTAAGTCCCGTGTCCCGGGAAACCTCAGTCCCTGGCGAACCGAGACCGTGGTCCCCCTAACAAATGTTTTCAGAGAGAATGCAGGGGTGCTGCCGCTGCCCTGCTCAGCCCCCCTTTACTGGGCTCGTGCTCCCCTGCCCCAGCTGTTGAGTTGTGCTGCTGATAGCTCACAGCTGCCCCCTCGGCCAAGATCTGCCCTCACCCGCCGTGCCCGGAGAGTCAGGCACCTTGGCACCATCAACTAATGGCGACCCACACAGGGGAACAAAAGGCTGGACTCTTGGCAGGGCGAGATCAGAGCCCTAGTGGATCAGGCCAAAGCGGAGGCCACGTCCTCACCTTGCTTGTTGTTCCCACCCTCACCCTGTCCTGCCTCCCTCCCTCCCTTTCTCCTGAGAGCGCACCCTCCAGAAAATCTGTGCACCCAGACCCTGGTCTTGGGCTCTGCTTTTGGGGGATCCTGATCTAGTGTAGAGAGGGAAGCATTTCCTTTAGTGCAACTCCCTTTTATTAATAAACAAATGCAAGAGAATGATTAAACTTTTACATGCTTCTATACATAAACTATACATCTTTTAAAAATTTGTTTTTAATATTTGAGAGAGAGAAGTAGGCAAGTGAGGGCGGGGACGGGCAGAGAGAAAGAGAGAGAGGTGAGAGAGAATCCCCAGCAGGCTCCGTGCTGTCCGCGCAGAGTCTGACTCAGGGCTTGATCCCGTGAGCCATGTGATCATGACCTCAGCCGAAAATAAGAGTCGGACGCTTAACCGGCTGAGCCACCCAGGCGTCCAGACCGTTTACGTATTAAGATTCCAAAATGGTAGTGTGTTCTTTGTTAGAGAATGCCGGGGCTGTTGGGTTTTTTAAAAGTAGTTTTCAATTTCCAGAACGACTGAGCAGGTGGCACTACGGTGTGGGCACCCATCTCACCCTCATCCCCCACGCCCGCACGGGTTCCTCTGTCGTTCACATCTTGTATTGGTGTGGCAATTTGTTACAATTAATGAGCCAGTATTGATACATTATTATTAACAAAAGTCCCTGGTTGCCATCCAGGTTTTACCCTTTGTGTTGTGTGGGTCTATAGATTTGACAAATGGGCAGTGACAGGCCCCGCTCCCCCTACCCCCCCCCCGCCAGTCCCTACTGTACACAGTGGTCCCACCCCTCGTGAGCCTGTGCCACCTACTGAGAGGGAAGCACCTCAGCCAGCCGTTGCAGGGGGCTGGGGGTCTGTGTGGGCGGAGGGGACTCGGTGAACGCAGAGGACACAGCGTGGGGACAGCGAGGCCCGCAAGGCTGCCAGGCCTTGGAGGGCACGTCTTTGCTTTTAGACTCTCCTGACACTTCATCCCTGACCTTGAGCTCGGGCTGGCCCATGCGGGGAGGAGGAGGGTGAAGAGGTGGGGTGCCGCTGTCACGTCTATGCCACCCCTCAACATCAGGCCGTGATGGCGTTCAGATGGCTCCGTAGCTCAGCTCTCGTCCTGATCTCACAGGCACGTGCGTGCACACACACAGGCGCAGAGACATACACATGCATGTGAAGACAGGCATGCATGCAAATACAGATACCTACACGTGCACACACATACATGCACACACACATGCATACACTCATGCACACATACATGTGCGTGCAAATACAGATGCATACACGTGCACACACACATGCACACATACATATATGGACACACGTGCACATACAGACATACACACAGGCTTAGGTACACATACATGCACATACAGTTACACACACACGAACACACATGCATGCAGACACATGCACTCATACACATGTTCACAAATACGACACACATACACGCGTGCACACATATGCAGATGTGCACACGCAGGCGCACACATAAGCACACATGCACACACAGTACCTGGGGACTGACAGTGGTTCAGTGACACGAGCCCATCAGGAGATTCAGCTGGATCAAGCTTCGCCTGAGTACTCGCTGTCATGTCATGGGAGACGAAGTTCCAGGAACCTGCACTTCTGGCCCGGTGGCACCTCCCAGGCCATCCTGTGGCTTACGTGCCGGTCCAAGTAGTTCAGAACAGAGAAGGAGGAGTTTGTGATGCTCACAGCCCTGGCTGCATAGTCGAGCAGTCAGCTGTGGGCAGGAAATGGGGGAAAGCCTAGGCCTGCTATGAATGAGTAAGGCCAGAAAAGTAGGTTGGGGTCAGACCAGAGGCTCTAGGGCTAGGCAGGGGGTAGGAAGAGATTGGGGTGCAATAGGGTCGGTCCAGGGAGCCATGAAAGGTTGTACAGCAAGGTAGGAAAATCCCCCAAACAGTGTGTTAGCTGGAGGAGAGACAGGTGCCAGGAGGTGGCTGGAGTGGTCCTGGTGGTGGCCCACGGTGCCACTGCTCAGGCTGAGGGCATGGGATGGGACCACTCACATGGGGCTCGGGGGCTGGCTCCAGGCAGAAGAGTGACGCACATCAGAGACAGGCCGGGGCCCCCGAACCACAGCCCCTCGGGAGCCTGCCGGCCATCTTTCACCCCAAGTCCCATCTCCAAGGCTCCTTGACAGCAGAAAAAATTCATAGCCATTGATTTTGTAATTAACAGTTTATCAATGCCATCGATACAGACTCACTGATGGATTGCAGAGAAATTAATCTTGCAATGTTATTTTATTTCATTTTTGGTCGAAGGCAGCTGCCGATTTTGGCCTCCTTGGGGAGGGTGGGGGGATGGGGAGAGGAAGCTGGCGGGAGGCAGGGAGTCTGGATGGCCACATCCCAGCCTTACTGGGACCAGCACATCTCGAGTGCACATTCTGGAAACAGCTGAGAGTGTAGGAATGGAGCCATGCTCCATTTCCAAGTGGAGAAGGAGTCCTCGCTGCTCCAGCAAGGTGGAGGGTATGAGGCCAGTAACGCCCCAGCGCACTAAAGGCACTTGCCCCCTGGCTGAGTCCTCACCGTGATGACGGTATTACGTTTATTAGGCGGTTTCTAAGTGCCTGGTAAAGTGCTATCTCTTTTAACCCTCACCACGACCCTATGAGGTAGGAGGTATTTGCTCCATTTTACAGATGAAGAAACAGTCTCAGAGAGCCTAAGTAACTTGGCCCAAATAACACAGCATCTAGGACTTGAGACTCGCCTTCCTCATTCTGCTTTTCTCCCAAGGGAAGGCAGGACCCTGGAGGCATGGGCTGAGTGTGGATCCAGAAGGTCAGAAGGAGTCACTGGGGTCAGCCAGTTGGAGCAGCTGCCCTCGGCAGTCTGGTACCTAAACTAACCCAGCACGCGCAGGAATCGCCCTGCTCTCTTGAGGAACTCTGGGGCCTCGCCCCGCCTTCCTGGCAGCCTCCCCAGAGCCTTCGGCTCACTTGACCCAGATGCACCCTTGCTTCCCGCCTCTGGCAGGCATCAGACACTGCGGTTCAGTGTGGTGGCTCGAGAGCTTTAAGGAGTGTCTGAAGAAGGCTGGGTGTTTTCCCCGAGGCTGGGGAATGAGTTCCAGTACGTTGCCTTTGCTTCAGCCCCGACCCCGCTGTAACCCAGCTGTCAGCACCTGCCCTGCTGGGATTTAGGTAACTTTCGTTTGAACCCCCAGTGTCTGCCGGAATCCAAAGCCCTCCCCAGGATTTTTGGAGAGCTCCCCACGGCACCCTCCGTCACTGTGCCCCATGCGTCCGGCCAGGCCATCTCGGTCCCCCAGCACAGGGCACCTCCACGCAGAGCCCAGCCCCTTTCTCTGTGTGTGGATTCCGTACCCGGCATTCTGTCAGGTTAGTGATGTCCCTGAAGACGAGCTGGTGATGATGCCCCCGGCTGGGCATTTCCTTCGGGACAGGAACTGTTTTCAGCCCTTGACCTGTATTAACTCATTCAACGTCTTGAGGTAGGTACGGCTGTTACGTCATTTAACGAATGAGAAAAACAGGGCACAGAGAAGTTAAATGACTTGCCTAAAGTCACACAGCTTGGCAAGTGATGGACGCAGGATTCCAACCCACCAGGCTGGCTCCAGAATCCTCCTGGCATCTCCAGGGCAGTGACGGGTCGGCTCACATTCAAGTCCTTCAGGGTCTCCGCCGCCACCTCCTGGTGGTTTCTCGAGAGATGACCTTCCTAGATACAGATCGCTCCCGGGGTCCAAGCCTCCGCTGTGTCATTGGCCTCCGTGACCTCGGGCTGGCCGCTTATGCTCTGTGAGCCTCAAGTCTCCTTCTTTGTAGAGCGAGGACTTGGAAGGCCACCCCACAGAGGCCCAGGGGCCCCAGGGTGGAGCCCATCCCCCGGGGCGTCCGGCCACACCCGCTGACGCGAGCCCTGTGCCCACAGATTCCATGTACATCGAGGATCTGGAGGCAGTGCAGAAGCTCCAGGACCTGCTGCACGAGGCTCTGCAGGACTACGAGCTGAGCCAGCGCCACGAGGAGCCGCGGAGGACGGGCAAGCTGCTGCTGACGCTGCCCCTGCTGCGGCAGACGGCTGCCAAGGCCGTGCAGCACTTCTACAGCATCAAACTGCAGGGCAAGGTGCCCATGCACAAACTCTTCCTGGAGATGCTGGAGGCCAAGGTCTGATGGCCCGGCACATGGACCGACTCCCACCCGCGGACAGACCGACCGACCCGACGCGGAGACCTCCACAGCCACCAGCCTCGACCTTCAAGCCCTGTATCATGGCCACGAGCAGTCCCCGAGGAAGGGGCTTCTCGCCTCCCGGCTGCGTGCAGAGTCCTGGGTGCAGCGGGGCCGGGGAACAGGGATGGGAGGGCAGGGCGTGGGCTCACCTGTGACTGGCTTTTTCTCTGGTATGTTTTTCCTTCTCCACGGGCAGTGCTGACGCCCGGGCCAGGGCTGACTCCCTTGAGACTAGAGACCGTGGAGGAAGCCCCGCCTTTCCCACCAAACCACCAAGAGACAGCAGCGTATTTCCTACCCCCCCCACCCCCCCTCCCCACCTCGTGGACTGGGCGGCCGGTGCTCAGTGCCTAGGACGCCCCCGGCCCAGGCTAGGCGCCACCTGGAAGTTTTCCCTCCCCAGACGGCAGGTGCTTTCTTCCAGAGGCTCCGCCTACTCTGAGGTTCTCTGGGGCCCCTCAGGAGGCTGCGTACCTTCCCTGGTCCAGACCCAGACGGCTCCCACCCTCCGTCCTTCCTCTCAGTTTGGCACACTCCGCTCCCGTTAGGGACTCGCCGTGGAGGGAGCAACTGGCAGAGCTCGTGCGTTTTCCCGGGCACACGCCCTTGTGTGCTCCCACTTGCCTGTCCCCGCTGTGCTGGGGCCCACCTGCCCTCCTCCCCTCCTGTCCCGGGAAATCCCTGCTACTTCCTGCCCCTACCTCAGAGCTCACTCAGTGGGTTCAGCCAGCCAAGGTGACTTCCGGGTCCACAGCTGGGAACCGCACTGGCTCAGAAAAGAGCAGGGCCCAGGCGATACTCCCCAGAGCTCCTGCTTCTTGCCTGCTTCTCACCTCCCGCCCTTTCAGCCTTCAGGGCAGATCTGGAGCAGGTGGGCCTGTGGCAAGGCAGGGAGTGTAGGGACCTGGCCCCATCTGAGGGCACCCTGGGCACTGATTTCAGGCTGGCGGTCCTGGGAGGATTGGGGCAAGATGGGGGAGGCTCGAACCAATCTTTGCTGAACACAGAAAGGCCTAGAAGTAAGCAGGCAGGGGATCCCTAAAGACAGGGAGCTCAGGGGAGGTTGCCAGCCTGCCTGCTACGTCCTGGCTTCTGGGGACAGTGGACACCAGGACTCCCCGTTCCCTGCATTCCAAAGGGTTGGGCGAATCAGTGCCACAGGAGGGGTGCTCCTGTCACCCTGGACTAAGGTGCGACGTAGGTCCCTGGGGACACTGAGAAGGCCCAGCTCTCTGGCGGGAGCCCCCGGTCTTCCTGGCTGCTGTGTAGGAGCCCCCAGTTTTCCTGGCTGCTGTGTAGACTGACCAACCACGCTGGTTGGCCCTGAACATTCCTGGTTTTAGCACTGAAGGCCGTGTCCTGGGAAACCCCTCAGTCCCAGGCAGATGGGGACGGTCTGTCTTCTGATTTCTGTGAGTGGCCTCAAAAGTCGGTTGTAACCCGCTCAGGGCAGCCCTGAGCACCTCGTGTGCTTGCACACGGGTTAGCGGGTGGCTGCTCAGAGGATCCCCCAAGGATGGGGGGGGGGGAGGGTTCAGCGTGATGGGAAAAGCCCCTCCTACGCAGCTGCCTTGTGAAGCAGGGTTCGGGGCAGCCCTACCGGGGACACTTGTGGGGAATGCACACGTGCACAGGCAGGCGGGATGGCTCACCCATCACTGGGATACCGCGGGGGCTGGGTGCTCGCTCCCAAGCCCCGCAGCTCTCTGCGTAAGGCGGCTGCGGCTGATGTCATCTTGCCACCTTCTCCACATCAGACGCTCCTGAATTTCTGTGCTGGGACCTGCTGAGGTCACCCCAGGCGGGAGGGCTGGCCGAGACCCAGCAGCTGCAGAGTGGCTGTCTGATGTCCTCATGTAGAAAATACCATGGGTTCCAGGAGGCCTCATGGCCCAGTGACGTGCGCTCCTCTCCTGTTAGCCGGTGGGGAATCCAAGGCCAAAGCCACGGGACAGTCAGCATTGTAATGATCATCCAAGATGCTTCATCCCTAGGTCTCTGGGAAGTCCCAATCTGGGTGGACACACCCGCACCTCAGCATCAAGGGACCCGGGCAAAGACCCAAGTCTGACAACCACACCCTAAGGTCCGAACCCGAGGGACCTCACGGTGAGAGAAGTTGGGGTCTGCTCCGTGGGTGCCTCCCCTAGCCTTTCATCATGCTGTGTGCTTGAGAAGGTGGGGCTGAGGGTGGCATCTCGTCACCCGGGTGTCCCTTCCTGCTCAAGCACGACGACCTGAGCGGTCCGCCACGGCAGGGGGCTGTGCCCCAGCTGGGGTTTGCTGCCCATCCTTTTTAGGGGGAAGGATCTCAGCTAACAGTACAACTGGTTTGGGGTGGGTGGGTGTTGGGATGGATCTGGTGCCCCTGCAAGGGTCCTGCCTCTAGAGCCTCTCTCTAGCAGCGAGGGGAGCTGGTGATCCCGGGGGCTCTGTGTCGGCGAGGTGTGCACTGCTCTCACACTTGAGCCCCAGTGGCGACAGGAAGTGGTCCGACGGGAACTCGTCCGGTGGGAAAGGCCCTAGTGTGTACCAACGGGCATTCAGAGAAAAAGTCTAGGCCAGCTTCTTAGCTGGAGGCCTTGCCAGCTTTGGGGCCTCCGTGGGAGGCGGTGGGGGGTGGGGGGGCCCTGACTTGGTGGGGGATGCTGAAGTGAGGAGAGTTTAGGATGCCCCATACCCCAGATGGGGTACTTGATGGAACTCAAGTTTGCCCCCAAATCTGCTGTTCCTGGAAAATCTGTAAAGAGGAAATCACCCTTCCCACTTGTATTCTCATGATACAGGTCATTGAAATGAACCAAGAAATAAAATGTGAAAATCCAACCACGGAGAAGGTGGTATTGGCTGGGTTTTGTTTGGTCCCCGTGTCCTGACCCTTTTAAAGCTTCTAGACTTTTTTGTCACGATGTGAACCTTGGTAGTGGCACCCAGGTTTTGCACACGGGAAACTTGGGTTGTTTCCCAGGCCACAATTGAAGAAACCAAGTAGGAGGATCTCGAGACCAGAGGGGGCATCGGTTGGGAGGCCAGGCAGGGCTTTAGGACCCAGAATCTGCACCCGCCTCTGTGTCAGGGGCCACCCTTCCCTCCTCCAGACTCTCCCCTCCTCCAGACTCTGCCCTCCCCCTGTGCAGATGGGAGAAGTCAAGGGTGGGGGGGAGCAGTGACAAACTGGTGACAAGAAGACAGAGGGGCCCATGCCCACGGAACAGCACCAAAGAAAAGCACTATGTGGAAAGAATGTTTTATTTTCGAATAATGATTAAAAGGCTGGAATGGCTTAAGATGTATATATTTTTTAAAATGGTAGTCCCTCATGGCATTGTCCACCTGTACGCATTTCCGCCTCTGTACGTGTTCTCCCCCAAGCCCCCACCCACCCCATGTAAATCAAATGCGCTAGGATTCTTCCGTCCTGGTCCCATGTATCTGGAATCTAATAAATAAGGAACAGCCCATTGGAGAGTTTCTTCACGTTACCTTTCCGGGCTTGCTGTCCCCTGGACAGCATTGCCCTCAGGCCAATGGCCGATGGCTAAGCCTGGCTGCGGGGAGCACCAGCCCAGCCTCAGAGTTTTCTGGGCGTTCAAGTAGTCATTTTAGCCTGTTCAGCCGCCAAACTTCAGGAAGGCAACTTGAGAAGTAGGCTACAGCTCTGAGAAGCTCCCTGCTACTTTTTATATTTTGACATTAATGTGAAGCACTCTAATCTTCACCGATGCCAGAGAAATGGAACATCACATGTATGGGAACCAAAAACCGTTCAATGCCTTAGGATCCTGAAATGCAGGCGCATAGTGCTGACCGCACAGAGGGCCCATGTGTCATCCACACTCGGGACCAGTGAGAAGCAGAGGGGATGGCCCGAAAAAAAGAACACCTTATCAGGGTGCCTTTCATTGCAAGTAAAAGCCCAGTTTATATCAGCTTAATGGATTGTCTTGGATTTATGTGAGGTCTGGAAGTGGGGCAAGCATCAGGTAGGGTTTGATCCAGAGGTTCACAAAGTCAATAGGGCCATGGCTCTGCTCCTCTTAGTTCTGCCCTCTGCTGTCTGCTTTGTCCTCGGCCTCTTGCATAGTAGCAAGAAGGCTGCCAGCTTTTTATCTTCACATTGTAGGGAGAGAAGGAACATCTCTTCTTACAACCATGGAAAATAGCTTTGTTCTAGACCCCAGTGGCTTTTTGCTTATCCCTAAAGGGACCACTGTGACCATCGGGGAGGACTAGTCCCATGTAACTGTCCAGCTGCTATACAGAAAGGGTTGGCTTGGAAGACTGGACTACAACCAACCAACCATGGCGCCCACAGAATTCACGTACATGGATAGCCCAGCCTCTGGTCAACTTTGAGCTATTTGTAAGTTTTCCTGAAGCTCCTGGAAGATCACATTCACAGAGCAGTCTTTGAACTCCATACTTAGCAAGCCTTCTGCACGAAACGTATTAAGAGGATGTTTTGTGGGAATGAAACTACCCAGTTTGTAGATTATTTTTAGGTAATTTCCCAATTTACCCTCATTACCTCTGGCACGTGTATACGTGCGTGTGCACACACACACACACACACACAGCTGCCACCTTAATAATCAGGAAAGAGAACCATAACATCAGATAACGTAATCGAAACAGAAGGACTGGACATCTGTATTTTAGAATTTTCTGTACTAGTTTGTACAGGTAATTGTGATCAGACTAGCTAATAGCTCATTTTCAAAAAGACTTAAACTTCATTGATAGCTTTCTGTCTCTTCATCCACTCTCCGAATATTCTCCCCTTTTTGTTACCAAAAAAGTGAAAGGGGGAAACACAACTAAAGGTCATTCACTCACTCATTCATTCGTTCAACAAAGATCTAATGAGGGTCTGGCCTGTGCCAGGCACTGTTCTAGGCACACAGTCTAGTGGGAGGAAGAGAGAGAATGAGCACAATAAATCAAATTACATAGGTAAGTTCTAGGAGGGGAAAAGCAGGGTATGGGGGATCAGGGATGGGGAGGTAGGATATAATTTTAAAAGGAATGGTCAGAGAAGCCTCAGAGAGAATGTTACATTTATTGAAAGTGAGGGCCAAGGTGGGTGTCTGGAGAAAAAGCTCTCCAAGCAGCAGGACCAGCATGTGCAAAGGCCCTGAGGTAGCACTGTGCCAGGTGTGTTCAGTGAACATCAAGGAAACAAGTGTGGCTGAAGTGGAGCGAGTGGGGCAAGTCATGTAGGGACATGAGGCCATAGGAAGTGAGGCTTTCACTGTAAGTGGAAGATTTTGAATAAAGGGACACACGATTGCACGTCTCAACAGGAGCCTTTGCCTGCTGTATTGACAAGCTGTAGGAGGGCCAGGGTGCAAGACTAACTCGGAGACCACTGAGGAGGTGACTGGTTTGGACCAGAGTCAGAGGAGAACAGGTAGTAAGCCCTTGGGTCCTGGCCCCAATTGGAGGCCACTAGGATTCACTGACACATTGGAAGTGGGATGTGAAAGAATGAGAAGACACCTGAGCAATCTCAAAGATTCTGGCCCGAGCAGCTGGAAGAGAAGGGCTGTCATCCGCTGAGGTGGAAAGACCCAGAGAAGGCCCCAGAAGGCCAGAGTCTGGGGGCCGGGTGGGAGAACCCCACTAAGTTTGAGATGCTACTGAATGTCCAGGGGGAGATGCCAAGAAGGCGACAGGCCATAGGGTCGGCCAGGTAGGGATCGGGGAATGAACTTCGTTGGTAATAGATGTTCACCCTGAAGATCTTTACCAGCCGTGAATTCCTTCTCATACCCAGCCAACCCCCTCTGTTGCTTTCTGGCCTCAGAGGCGGTAAAACTCAGCTTGGAGACAGGCTTTTGGAGCAGAAGGGGCTCAGCGGTCACCTTTTTACGTTATCATTTGACAGTTGAGAGAAATGAGCCTAGACTCTACCCTTGCCCTCGATTCTCAAGAACAGTGTGGGGCGCTAGCCTGGAAGGTACACAGGTGCTTTCTTGGTGTGGACCACCGGTTCTCATATGGGGTGACTGTGCCCCCAGGGCACACTTGGCAGTGTCTGGAGATGTCCCACTGGGGGTGCTCCTGGCATCTAGTGGGTGGAGGCCAGGGGCGCTCCACAGGGCACAGGACGGCCCTCACAACGAAGGACTGTCTGAGGCTGAGAAATCCTGATTTACACACATTCTGGGCATCAAGATAAAAACACTCAGGGTTCCACAGAACAGAATCTGGGCGTTTCCACTCATATTACTAAGCTCTTCCCGCTCCCAGATGCCATCTCT